ATTTAATGTTTTTAATTTACTTTTATCAATGGTAATTGATTTGGGAATTATTTATTTATTTATTTATTTATTTATTTATTTGAAAATACCTTGGTGGTCGTACACGCTGATGTATGAGATGTCCACTATCATGGCCCACACCACCAAGCTTGCCACGTCTGGCAGTCTTTGCTCGTCCTTGGTCAGCACCAGCCCCATATAAACTGGCAGCTATCGCAGCGTGTGGCCGTCCGAGCACCAGCGCAGCTGGGCCAGGCCTGCAGAGCCCGCATGGACCCTAACTGGTTGGCACCGGGGCCTCCTGGGCACGGGGGGAGGGGGGTCTCGCTCTGCATGAAGCCGAGCAGCTCTGGGACCACAGCGGCTGTGCGGCAGCAGCACCTCCAGGCCAACGTCCAGGCGCTGAAGCGGGCACACAGGCAGGTGGACAGTGCGCGATGCAGGCAGCTCGTGCAGGACCGTCGTGTTTGCTCCACACTAGGCGCCCGCTACCCCCTGCCGCCACGGCGGGCCATCTTTACTCTGCGTCCTCCTACGTAGGCCCTTTGCTCGCAAATGCCTCTCTTTACCCTCGCCACTACCTTCCCCTGAGCTACTTTTTGAGGAGAAGAAGAATCACTATTAAATTCCTGTCTTTTGCGATTTCGGAGAGGATATGATTTTATCATGAGCTGTTTTTTAGATTTGGCTTTTAAAGATTTATTATTGTTTTTAACTAACGGCATAAGCTGATCTATGGGTCCTAAAAGATCTTGTTGCATGGGCATAGTTTTATTAGACATTTTTGTTCCTTGTGCTGAGGAACAAAGGTTTCTAATTTTTCCTTAGGTTGGAGTTAGCATAGAAGTAGCGGAGGGCATAACTTGAGGGGGAGGTAAAGGAGCCAAAGGACAAGGAAACCCTTCTTTATCAGATTTATCATCCTTAGCCTGAGGTATAATTTGAATTAAATCATTTGTTGCATTTTTCTCATGTTCCTCAATTAAACATTGTTCTTTAAGAGCTAACTTAGCCTGATCTGATAACTCTGTTCATGTAGTTAAGCCTTTAGCACAATGAAGGAAAAGCTGAATTGCAATAGCAGTTCCCCAAAACCTGTCATCAATCATTACTCTTTTTCTATAAGCCTTTCGAACACAAGGAAGCATTTCACTCCATTTATCTTTGGACCAGCCCTCCTTGAACTCAGCCAAATTATAAAATCCCTTTGCTGTAAACAAACATCGTTTTAGGTCCTCCTTATGGATCTTAAATCCAAACCCCTTTAATAAAAATTTCAGGTTTGAAATGGCTTCACTAAACTGTGAAGACCCCTGTCTCATTGTTACCCAGAAATTTCCCGAATCTTCACCAACTCACAGAAGGTCGATCGCTCCCTTATTTTCACCTTACCTCCGCTGAGAGGATTCGAGGTCCCTGTTCAGGCGGCACTTGTTGGTGTCTCTCTAGAGGGAGACCTGGAACCCCGGAAAGCACCGACTTTTAAAGAAAAAAAAGGAGACAGCCTGTGGATGAACAGCAGTTTAATTCCTCTGGCACTATTCAACAATCACAAAGGAAAGAAGCAAGGCTTTTATACATGTAGAAAAGCAGCTTAGTTATTCTGGCTATTGTCTTTTTGATTTTAACCTCTGGTGACAAATGACTTTAAGTGACTCATAAAAGCTACAGGCGAATTCACAAGTCCCTTGTTTCCATTCACCAATCCCGTACATCAAAGAGCACACCGCAGCCCTCTTCTTATCAGATAGTATCAAGAGAGCAGGACGATTTCAGCCAAAATCAAGCCCACCGGCCCACCACAAACATCACAGATGTGCATAGTGAGTCCTATCTCTCTCACCACCCGTAGAGTCATTGGATCGCAGTCCTCTGATCCCGGGCAATGGTAAATAAGAAAACTAGAACTAGGAAAACCTGTTTTTCTCCCGTGAGACTTTTACAATGTCTCTTAAAGTTTTCTGGCATTCTTTTAACAAACAGACTTGTGGAATTTCCCAGAAACGACTTAATTTTCTTAGTTAACAAACTTTTTGTGATCTATTCTTACAACTAGATAGCTGAATTCTACCATTTCCCACATATATATCACTATGACAAAATTATTTACAAAACTTTTACACTTGGGTCATTAACTGATGGTTCAATATTAAAACCTCATTAAATTTTTTTTGAGACAGATTCTCTCTGTATAGTTCACGCTGGCCTCGAACCCAATATGTAGCCCGGGGTTGCCTTGAACTTGTGGCAATTCTCCTGTCTCAGCCTCCCACACACTGTGATTACAGCTATGTGTCACCACACCAGGGTTTAAATTTTGTTTATATATTTCTAACCACCATAGTTTTTTTAAAATATGCTACAAAATAGAACTTTGTATTTTCTATGTTCATAATGTGGAATTTACAATATAACAAATGTTAAGGAATTATCTTGTTTATGATAAAATTTATTGCCAATTTAGTGAAAACTCATGTTAACTAATTCATCATTTAAATTTTTATGAGGTCCTAATTACAGAACTTTTGATTTTAGAAATTCTCAACATAAGATTAACTATTGTTGAAAAATTTTTTAAAAGACCAAACTCAAGTTATATGCCTTGAGATATAATCCATATTATAAAGAAATTAAGCCAAAAAAACAAAAAAAAATATTTTATGAGATCTGAGTTCATTTGGATTCTTGGTTTTCTGAGAGTGCACATCCTATAAAGGACTTATATAAATGATAATTCTTATTTTTTCATTGTTAGATGAATTTGATATACACGTATTATTATTTTTTTCTTTTTCAATCTGAGTGTAGATAATTAGATAAAATAGATATGTTTCTTTGCAGTTTTACTTAACTTATAAATTAAACATGGATGTTAGAAAACACTTATTTTTTAAGTGCATTAGACAGACTAGACTAAGTTTCTGTGACAAAAAGATCGATGTAGTGACCCAATTATAGGTAAAATTTTTCCCTAAGTAAAAGCCCAGACTGAGGTATCTAGCATTCTTAGTGACTTTCCTTCTTTCTAAGATATTATAACTGACACCTGCAACCTAAAGGAGGAAAGGTTTTATTTGGGCTATAGTTCACATTCTACAGTTTCTGGCTCTGAGGGAGGACAGCCCAAGTGGAGAATAGAGGAGGAGAGCTGCTCTTGTTGTAAGCAGCTCAGTTAGACAGAAATTAATACACAGTCAGAGAGGGACTGGGCCCTCAAGAAGTCAGCACAAAAATACAGACATCAGAATTGTGGCTGGAGGCGCTTCTGAAGAAGGCCAGGACACAGGATGAAAATGGAATGGCCAGGCTTACATGTCTCTCTAAGGCATAAAGAGTAACTTGAGATTATACTGTAATCCCCACCACCTTGTTCAGTAAGTCCAGATAGGCATCAGACATCTGGACCCATCCCTTCCCCAAAATGGCCTTATTTCCATATACCCCTGCTATGTTACCTATTTCCCTATTGGATCAATATTAGCTAAGTGGCTAAACTGATAGGTTGATTGTAGTCTCACCCACATTGTACTCCCGATGTGACTTTGCTATATAAATTACCCCTGGCAGCCGGGTATTTAGCTCAGTGGTTCCAC